AGCCAAAACCCAAATCAGCACCACAACGATTATGATGAAGCGTGTTGCTCGTCTTCCATTATCTTAAATAAATAATTAGATGACTTAATCGCCACACTTTATTTTTTACTTTTTTTTACTTAAGGAATAAAAAAATGTTTTACAAGTTTCATTTATGACGCTATAAAGAAATATGCAAATTTAATTTATCGAGAAAGACGATTGTTATTCAGATGTATTAACAGTGAAATTATTTGCCTTATTGATTAATTGCTTCGCACTAATTATTTCAAATATGATCTCGAATATCGAATAGCTATGGTTTTATACTTGTGACGTACAGTTTTCGCATAGGATCCACGATAGCGAAAAATTTGTCTGCTGAGAGGGCAATCAGAATGAAAACGGAAACTCCGACAGATATATCGTTCGCGAACTCGAAGTGTTTGCATACCAAGCCCGAAAAGCCAAGAGTCCAAAGCATAAGCGATAATGGTGAACGGGACGCAAGTTATTATTACCTATAAAACAAAATACAAATTAGGCAATGATTGACTTTAAATGCAAGAAGACAATAGCTGTAATCGAGTAATCGGTAATCGGCTGTAATCAGTAAACCGCTGAGAGCATTGCGATGTACAGATTCGAGGCATTGCTGTAGGCATCTGGGCATTTCTTGAGCATTACTGAGCACTATTACATTTTATTTTTAAACAATTGACACTTGTTTTATGTCAGATATATTTGCAACACGTAATAAAATGTAAGTATTAAATAAATTACGCTAAATAATAAGATTGCGTTCTCACGGATGTTATCCGTGGGGGATTACGGTCGGTCAGAAATTGGGCATTACCTCGGGCATTATCTACTAGGCATAGGCATTAGTGTACATAATTTTGGTTAGCGGTTTATCCCTCGGTTGTAATATAATGCAAAATTTTAATATTGGGATTCGATAGTTACAATTCTCTGTTCGAACACTTTTATTCAATTTATATCGTCAACATCTGGTAAAACCTTAAATCGAAATCTGATATTTGAGCAGTTTGTACACTCTGACAGAGCAGACTAACCGCATCCGCCAATACCAGACATTTCCATTTAAAAAGCGGTAAATATCTGTCGTATATAAGTTCATGTAAGCTCGTCAGGGACGCGTATCACGTGTAATATTGAGGAGAATGTAAGCTATTTTGTACGACAAGAGAAAAAAAAAGAATATCTTAAGCTCTGGAGTAGCTGTCGAATACAGAAGCTGTTGCCCTAAATTCTAGGAATAATATAAGAACCGATTAATATTATATGCTAAAAACCACCTTCAAGTCGTACGTGTGTATGTATATGTGTGTATGTTTTACACACGCCCGTACGCACACAATGTGCAAAATCCGTTTGCCAACCTCCCTATAGTGCACATCGGGTAATGCTAACCATATCATGCGAAAAATACAAGATTACTTTAAAATGCTGTAACTTTGTGAAAAAAAATCGTAGCAACTTGTTTTTTTTTTCAAATTAAAGAGAAAGGTTCAAACTTTATGACGCTGCAAACCGCATCCCCGAAAAAAATTTTAGGAAGTCCATGTATTCTGTCAAACTTTGCAATTTTTAGTATGGAAAACATACTCTCAGATTTAAGAGTTTACAGTAGCAGGGGTGCATTAAATTTAAAATCGACTTATAATACCTTAAAGTAGAGATTTCAAACTTTCATTTGAAAAAAAGTTTATCATTCTACAATGATTTTTCGCAGAGTTACCGTTAGTCAAAGTTGACTAATTTTTGCCTAAAATTTTTCTATGCCATAATTTTTTTGAGCAGTATATTAATGTTACGTACCAATAAATCCCCAAGCGCCAGCGAGAGGACATACATATGAGGTACGTTTCTCATGTTTGTGTGTCAAAGGATCGTAAGAGCAAGCACGCCATTTCCCGTGAGGCCGATTAGCAGGATCAAAAGAAAGATGATCGGCACGAAATACATTTCTGGTCGCTCGCTGTACAGCGTGTATTCCTGCTCCTCCCAGTCGGTATCGTTCGTGATATTGTCAGCAAAGTCACTGGCTTCCATTGTATAATTTGATGTTAGTGCCAATGGCGTTAATCGTGTCATCATCAACATCGTAATCGAGGCATCGAATGGCGAGGCATTTGTCGCGTATGGCCACAACATTGTCATTCCGTTTCAATATATTCCAACATTTTTTCCGCCGTTAACGAGAATATGACTCTCTTTGCATTTTGATCTTTCCTTTTTCCATTATCAAAATTACAGAGCGTTCAATGCCAGTGACAGTTAGATGCATCGGCTATAAAATAAAGAAAAACGTTAATGAGATTTTTAGTATTTTTACGTACAAAAAGCTGAAACTAGTTTATTTATTGTTGGTTGCGGACGCGAAAAAGCTCCATTTTTAATATTATGTATAAGTACAATTGAATAAATTATTAGCGATAAAAACATATTATTTATTGAAATATTAAAAGTTAAATTTTTGTTCTAAATGGAATTTTTTTTAAAAAGATATTGAACAAGATAGATAATTGAGAGCCTGATGCTATCAAAATAAAATGACAAATGACATTGAGATTAACTGGCCGCAAATTAAGACAAAATAAAGAAAATGCACATAAAAATCAATTTCAAATTAATTATGAATTAACATATTAATTATACTTTTAAATTAACATATTTATTAACACATTTTAATTAATATATTTATTAACTTTTTTCTTAATCATCATATTTATATTGTAACGGGGTTCTTCTGAGAAAGCCCCGTTCCGCCGGTTATAACCTTCGCGGTCCGCCGACGCCCTCCATCCGAGTCAGGGGAGTGCTCGTTGTGGCAAAGAAAGCTGTGGCGTTCACATATCTTTTAATCGATGTAATTAGAGCGCCGATCATCCGCGCCACGTACGCGTACCGAGCGCGTGGAGCTGCCGACGGCCGTAACCGTCGTGCGCATGCGCACTAATGCCGCGGACTTCGCACGTAGCTTGGCCGCGTTTAATTATTTATACATTCGTACATATTGAGTTTTTGAATTTTTTTTTGTTAATTGATATAGTTTAATATTAGATTTTGCCCGCTTTATTTGTTCTAAGTTTTTTTTATTTCTTCATTTGAGTTTCAAGATCTTTTTTCGAAATTTGTTAATTTCTTATGTAAATTAATTTTTTTTAAATCTTTTTTTATGCACTAATATTAGTTGGATTTGTTTCAATTACAAATCTATACAGCAGAATATAAAGTTTAAAAATTTTGTAAAAAATAATTAAATACACTTTTTATTGTTATAATAAAGCAAACGAAATTTTACACATATAAATAGTGTAAGAAAATTTATGTGATTGTAAAAATGTATTTATGTTATGTTTCTTTATATTATATTATTCTGTATTATCTTTATTTATATTATTTTTCTTGTGCTATTATAAGAACTACATAAAACTTATATTATAAAAAATTTCAATAACAGCTTGTGTTATTCCATATTGCGTTATTTCATAATTGTTATTTTCGAACAGATGCAACTTGAGTGACACGTGTTAGAAATGAACTCTTGAATTTCGCATTTGCTTTATTTCATTTTCTTAAAATATTCTTAGAAACTAATCAAGATATAAACCAACTTTCGACAACTTGCCTCTTTAATCAGCTTGTAGTATCCTTTAAATCCTATTTATCCAGTAGATTAATTATATTTCGCGTCTGTGAAGTAAAGTGTCATACGCATAACGTTGTATGTGAATGTATTACTTGTAGTGCTCTTTTGAAATTTATAATCTTATAAGAGAGCTGCACTTTACACATAGATCGTTACAATTTTCGATACAGTTTCAAATGTTAAATGAACGTCGCTGCATTGCCGCTACGTGGAACGCTATTATAGGAGTAATCTTTCATAGATAGAGGAGACCGGGGCTAGTTGATACATGGGGCACGTTGATACATTCAAAATTGCTTTGATTAGATATATCCGCCGATAAAAAAAAAGCCTTTTAGTCTATTTGCAGCCGCGATATCAGGTACATGTAGATACGTATTTACGTATGTATAACTGACCATCATTACGCTAAAATTATTTAAGTATTGATTAATAGTGCGAAGTTTCTTTCTACATATTTTTAAACGTGAATTACCAAATTAAATCTTGTCGATGTACAGAGAATTATGAAGTTAAGTAATGTAAAACATCGTGTCTCTTAACACTTCTTCCATATCTGTTTCGCATCTGATATCTACTTTGTCGTGCATATGTACATAGTGGAAAATTTTGTACTCAATTGTGTCAAAAACGGGTCTTGTTAAAAATTTATATTGAATTTTTAACGTACTCCAGTGTTTAACATAATCTGATTACGTTATTTAAATATATTGTGTTAAATTGATATTTAATGTTCTTAGTTATGTTAAAATAACATAATTTACGAGTAAGTGAACATAAAAATAATGTAGTTTTAAAACATAAATTCTAAGAGAAATAAAATAAGAGAATAAAAGATAAATACATGTTAATTTAACATATAATAAATGTTACTTTTACTAAAGAAATATGCTTGCACAATTTGTTTCCAAATTGTATCAAAGTATTACACTTTTTGCGTTATTTTTTACATAATGTTAGTGTTATTTTCTAATATATTCATCTTATATTAAAAATTTGGATATCATTTGAGACATATGAAATGTGGTAAATCAGATAAATTTAACAGCAGTTTTCCAACTGTGTATATATCACGTAGATAATTAACTTTTATTTATAAATTATAATAAAGTTTTATATTTTTCTCAAAATAAGTAAATTTGTAAGGAAGATTTATATTTTTTCTAAAACAAATACACTGAAAACATTTAATATTTTAAGTAATATTTTTACTAGGCTCAATAATTCTATTTCTCCATAAACTTATTAATTTAATATAATTATTACAACTTCAGTATTTTTTTTCAAAATAGCTGACTCAATACTGATATTCCAAGTTTTTAACAACAAAATAGCGCCCAAAAAGATGTATAAAACGAATATCTGGATACCTGGCATGCCCAAGCTAGAAAATCTTTATAAGAATTCGGCGTGTATCAACAACGAAGACTTCGAATCTTTCAGAAATATCGTACAGCGTGCTTTGGCACAACCGCCTTTTATACCTGATGAATCATTTAATGATATTACTCATTTTGTAATGATCGAATTTAACAACTTAAATCAGATATGCCTCAATATAGCTAAACATGGCCTAACGATATTCGTAAAAAGTTTATTACGTGATGGAGTAAACCCTAACCGGGTGAACAAGTTCTTCAAATCCGCGCCTATTCATTTCGCCACCAAAGGCGGACATTTCGACACGTTGAAAGCTTTACTAGCTGAGCCGATGGTAAATCCTAATCTCCAGGCTGGACGAAAGACCGCTCTGCATATCGCGGTGAACAGAAACGACCGAAGGTGTGCTTTAGTGCTTCTGCAAAAAGGTGCTAACGCTAATATTTCTCAGCGAAGGCCAGCCTGCTCTCTATCTAGCGGCAGTGAAGGGAGAGTGCGACATGGTAGAACTAATACTACGAAGACACGAGCAAAACTTAGATAATTATATGGATATTCACAAACGGACGACACGAGACATGATAGAAAAGAATCTGCCAAAACTGTTTTTTCCGAACAAATATCATGCACACCAGTTTGCTACAACTTATACTAATGATCTCCATTACTATCTGACTATTAACGATGAAAAAAGTTTTCTGGAGAATATGTTTAATAATGAGGTGATTTTTTCGGAAACAGTTGAAGATTTGTTGGTAACAGCCACGGAAAATGATCTTCGCACGGCAGTAAGAGAAATCCTAAATCAGTTTCATATAGTAAACAATCGAATTGGAAAGTATGGGATGTTTACATGTATAATTTTGACTCCTGAAGAATTAATTAATAAGAATAAATTAGAACAAAATAAACTAATAATAAAACGTACTGCAGACGTGGCTGTTGATAAGAACCGTTACGCTCTTCTTCGGGAATTATTGAACATAGTGAAGAAGCCAAAGATAGTCAATAATGATTTTATAATAAAATTCTGCAAGCTGAAACAACTTAAAAGGCAAGTATTAAATACAATGTCTGTCTCAAAAGTAGTGAGAAAGATTATTTTATAAAACTTTAGCCACAATGACATATAATATATAATTTCTATTAAAGTATGCTTTTCTAGAATCTAGCGGTTCTGTTACTTTTGATAACAGTTCCGAAAGTTTTTTTTTGTTAAAATATTTGTCAGTATCGCGATTTTCTAAATGTTATCTGTCGTCTCATAATGTTGATTTTTTATTAATTTTTTATTTTGTAGAACTAAAAAAGTTACACAAAATCAGATTTGAACTGTAAAATGCATATGAAATTTCAAATTTGTGATGCCTGTATCACTGCGATCCAAGGTATCCAAAGCGTACTTTAAAGAACATTGTATTTCATTGTAAATAAATTCAATAAAAAAATTTGAATATATTCTTATCTCACTTCTAATACAGATGTCATATATCCGATTGGGTAGAGTGTATGAAATTTATGCTGGATAAAGAAGAAATAAAGCTTCATGAACTAATGGATGGTAAATATACAATAAATAAGAAAAGAGATAGCACTTTTTAGATAATATTAAAACATTTTAACATCTAAACTCAATCGTTAACGCATTTTTTAAAAATCCCTCACGGACTCCGTTTTATTATAATATTTTAATTGTAATATGTATTATAATTTTTATTGACAACATTTTATTTAACAGATGAATGTAATACGCCACTGCATTACGCGGCCAAATCAGGCTATAAAGAAGCAATTGATTTAT